CTCAAGGCTAGCACTCTACCACTTGAGCCACAGCGCCACTTCTGGCTTTTTTCTTTTTGCTTATGTGGTGCTGAGGAATCGAACCCAGGGCCTCTGGCATGCAAGGCATGCGCTCTACCACTGAGCCACCTTCCCAGCCCCATTTTTTTGAGTCTTAATTGTAGACAGAGTCTCATAGGCTTTTCTGCCCAGGTAGCTTTGAATCTCCACACTCAGATTTCTCTCAGTCTCACACTTACAGGTGTGAGACACTGAGCTCGGCCGCTTTTATGACTATTGTGTTTGCTATTACTGTTCTGGGATTGATTTTAAAGCATTGCATTCTTGCTTGGCTTTTTTAAATTCAAGTTCCACTACTTGAGCCATTCCTCCACTTCCAGATTTTTGCCATAGAGGTGGAGATAAGACACTGGATTTGTCTGCTCAAGCTGGCTTTGAACCTGAGATTCTCAGATCTGAGTCTTCTGAGTAAGCTAGGATTACAGGTGTGAGCCATTAGCACTCAGCTTGCTTTCCTTATTTTTCCACTCGGGTCTCTGCATTTATGCCTAGGCTGGCCTGGGCTGGGATCCTCCTATTGTTTTTCTTTTGTTTGTTTTTGTTTTTGCTAGTCTAGGGCCTTGAACTCTGGGCCTGGGCACGGTCCCTGAGCTTCTTTTGCTCAAGGCTAGAACTCTACCACTTAAGCCACAGCACCTCTTCCCGCTTTTTCTGTTTATGTAGTACTGAGGAGTTGAACCCAGGGCTTCATGCATGCTAGGCAAGCATTACACCAATAAGCTACATTCCTAGCCCGGATCTTTCTATTTTTGTACCTATATAGTTGGCACTGACAGGCATGGTACCATGTCCAGGTTTTCTTTGGTTATGATGGTGTCTCAAACTCCCTGGGCTCCTGGCATAGAAGTAAGATCTTCTTGTTCCTTGCCTCCCAATTATTTGGAATTAAAGACATGAACCACCTCACCTAGCTGAAGTCTTTTGTTCAAAACAAGTTTTAGTTGGCTTGAGTCCTATTTATTTATACTCTAGGATTTCATGCTGTTTTCTTTTTCCTTTGTTTTTGTTAGTACTGGGGCTTAAACTCAGGGCCTCATGTTTCACCTGACTTTTTTCTACTCAAGGTTTTTCCACACCTCTACTTCTGAATTCTTGCTGGGTAACTGGAGATAAGAGTCTCTTAGATTTTTCTGCCTAGGCTAGCTTTTGAACCTCAATCCTCAGGTCTCAGCCTCTAGAGTTGGTAGGATTGTAGGTATGAATTGCCAGTGCCTGGCTCCCAGTTTTCTACAGTGTCCACACAAAACCAATGTTCTCAAAATTCCTTCAGAAAATGAAAAGTAATAATCTCCCCCACTCCCCTCCAAAAAAAGGAAGTGTGAAATGTTTTTCTGGCTGTCTGATGAGGAGGGTTTATTCTCTGGTACCTCACCTTCAGCATGTCGTTAGCTTTAGGTACAAGGGAACGCCCACTAGAAAAATCATTTTCCACCAAGTGCAGGTTGTACACATATTCTGGAACGCTGCTGGTTCGGTGGAGGTTGCCTGTAATTAAGCAAACATTAAAGTCAGAAAATGAATGAACCAACCAAGATTACAGACTACATAACACCTCTATATAAAACTTTCAAATTTAAGCACCCAAGGTCAATTACAAATACGAATATATATTGTTGATAACCATTGGTTTTGATGATCAAGAATCATCAAAACATTTGGCTGTATGCTGATCTGTAATCGTAGCTACTCAGGAGGCTGAGATCTGAACTGCATTTCAAAGTCAGCCCAGTGTAGACAAATCAGTGAGACGCTTATTTCCAATTAACCAGCCCAAAGTAGGAAGTAGAGAAGTGGCTCAAGTGATAGAGCACTAGCACTGAAGGAAAAAGCTAAGGGATAGTGAGTAGTAGGGTGTGAGTTCAAATTACAGTACTATCATCAACAAACAAAACATTCTCTGCCAGTATTTCAAGGTACAAGGTGAATTTAAAAAACAAGAAAGCAGACACATCAGGTAGTACATGGCCAAGACTTGGGAGATTTAGGAGTATGTATAGTTCAAGGCTAGCCTAGGCTACATAGTGAGAGCCTGGTGAAAAAAGAAAAAAAAGAGAAATTTCTAAAAACCTAAAACTAACCATGAACATACAGATGTCTGAGACTTGCTCACTGGTTAAATGGTCTGTCTGCTCTACTTTTTTTTTTCTTTTTTTTTTTTAGTCAGTCCTGGGGCTTGAACTCAGAGCCTGGGTTCTGTCCCTGACCTCTTTTGCTTAACACTAATACTCTACCACTTACAGCCATAACACCACTACTGGTTTTCTGGAGGCTAATTGGATAAGAGTCTCATGAACTTTCCTGCCTGGGATGGCAGCATTACAGGAGCCTGGTTTGTTCTTTCATTAAGGCACAGAATTCTGTTCTCAGGGCAGGAATTCAGGAACTTTTGAAATAAGTATGTGTAGGCAATAAATGTAATGGTGACTCAACACTACTGGATAAGAGAGCCAGATAAACAATGAGATCAGTGGTCAGTGTGCTCAAAGAAAAGATGCCACAATACTGGCGGCTCATGCCTGTAATCTTAGGTATGCAGAAGGCTGAGTTCTGAGAATTGTGTTTTGAAACCAGCCGTGTGTGTGTGTGTGTGTGTGTGTGTGTGTGTGTGTGTGTGTGTGTGTGTGTATCCAGCAAAGAAATCTGAAGTGGAAAGCTGTGTGTGTGTGTGTGTGTGTGTGTGTGTATCCAGCAAAAAAATCTGAAGTGGAAAGCTGGGTATTTGTGGCTCCTGCCTGTAATCCTAGCTACTCAGGAGTCTGAGATCTGAGGATCCTGGTTCACAGCCAGCCTGGGCAGGAAAGTCTGAGACTCATCTCCAACTAACCATCAAAAAGCCGAAGTGGAACTGAGGCTTTAGTGGTAGATTGCTAGCCTTGAGTGAAAAAGCCTCAGGGACAACACAGCACCCGTACCCTTACTTCAAACCCCAGACGAAAAGAAAAGAAAAGGAAAAACCAACCCTGACACTAAAACAACACAGGAATCACATACCAACACACTTTCCCAACAATTGTTTAAAACAAAATTCAGGCTGGGCGCTGGTGTCTGACTTCTGTAATTCTAACTACTAAGGAGGCTGAGATTTGAGGCTTGTTGTTCGAATCCAGCCTGGGCAGGAAACTCCATGAGATGCTTATCTCCATAAGCACTAAAGAGACTAGACAGACATTCCCCAGTTATTGTGAGGGAGAGGAATGCTGTTTCTGGTTGCCAGAGACCTAAGACATTCACCTCTAGCCCTAATTACCTATTAGGTCTGGCCCACTCTCCTCTGATTTCCTAGGGGCAGACAGGGCTGATAAACAGCTCTCAGGCCTCCAGGGATCCTGAGGAGAGGCAGCTGACAGCCAGTCACTGTCACACTGTAACCCAGGGAAGTTGAGAGAAGACAGGGAAAGGTCAGGTAGCCCCTTAACTTTTAACCTCTGACCTGGATGCCTTGCATCTGGACCTCAGTGACATTAAAGAATCTCTGCAAACTAAGAGCAGATTTAAGGACACAATTCTCAACGGTAGGGCTCCAATTCTCAACGGTAGGGCTCCTGCCTGGGCTGACTGTAACTCTTGTCCTCAACTCTGCACCCAGTTTTCCCTTCTGCATTTCCAAGTCCACACCACAGGTTCCAGGGAGGCAAGACCCCAAGGCTGCTGCTGGACCTGGAAAGGGGGCCACCACACAGACGCTGGGAACATAAAGGCTCCAATCCCCAAGGCCTGGGGAAGGGGTGAGGAACACAGCTTCAACTTTGCCCAAGTCACAAGAGAAAAGAAGCTTAAACTCAGAGGCTGTTGTGGGGACAGGTAAAGAATTACTAATTCCATGGGGCTGGGAATGTGGTGTAGTGGTAAATGGACTGCCAAGCATGCATGAAGCCCTGGGTTACATTCCTCAGTACCACATACACAGAAAAAGCTGTAAGTGATGTTGTGGCTCAAGTGGTAGAGTGCTAGCTTTGAGCAAAAGAAGCTCAAGGACAGTGCCCAGGCCCTGAGTTCAAGCTCCAGGACTGGCAAATACATATATATATATATATATATATTATTATAGATTATACATAATAATATATAGTATATAATATATTACATATAAACATATATATATTTCTGGTATATATGAAAACAAATTTCCTTGTCCTTTAAAGAAGAAATTTAGAAGCTGGGTGCTGGTGGCTCATGCCTGTAATCCTAGCTACTCTGGAGGCTGAGATCTGAGGATCATGGTTCAAAGCCAGCCAGGGTAGGAAAATACGTGAGAGTCTTATCTCCAATAAACAACCAGAAAACTGGAAGTGGTGCTGTGGCTTACGTGGTAGAACACTTGCATTGAGCTGAAGAACTCAGGGACAGCACCCAGACCCAGAGTTAAAGCCCCAAGACCCATAAAAAAAAAAAAAAAGATTTCACTAATAGTGGTTCCTTTGTATAATCCTAGCTACTCAGGAAGCTAAGATCCAGAGAATAGTGATTTAAAGCCAGCCCCCAAAGAAAAGATTCCATCTTCAATTAACTAACAAAAAGTAGGACTGGAAGCATAACTCAGCAAAGCAACTTTGAGGCCATGAGTTCAAGCCCTAATACCTGTGACAGTAATAATAGTAATAATAATTGCAACAGTATAAATAATAATCTGGATCAGGCATGGTAGTAAATGCTTGTAATCTTGACATTTGGAGCAGAATCAGGAGAGTGGCCAAGTTTGGGGCTAATCTGGGCCAAATAGCTGAGCTCTGTCTCAAACAAAATAACAATGAAGCCTGAAGCCAGGTGTCTGTGACTCATGACTACAATCTCAGGTATTCAAGAGGCTGAGAACTCAAGAACTCAGAACTGTAGTCTGAAGCCAGCTGGAAAGTCCAGAAAGTCTGGGAGATGCTTATCTCCAATTAACCACCAGAAAACGGAAGTGGCACTGTGGCTCAAAGTGGTACAGTGTTAGACTTGAGCAAAAAGCTCAAGAACATTGCCCAGGCCCCAAGTTCAAGCCCCAAGACTGGAACAACTACAATGAAAAAGCAATTCAGTGGTATCCATTTCAAAATGTGGACAATAACAACAACAAAAATCAGAAGAAAAAAATTGAAGATAACATCAGGAAATGGAAAGACCTCCCAAGTTCAGAGATAAGTAGACTATTGGGAAAATGGCCATACTGCCAAAAATGATCTACAAACTTAATTCAATCCTTCTATCAAAATCCCAATTAACTTTTTTACTGAGATAAAGAAAACAATCCAAAATTCATATAGAACAACAAAAGACCTCGAATAGCCTAAGCAATTCTAGGCAAAAAACAAGCAAACAAAAACAAAAACAATGTTGGTAGTGCCACAATTCCAGACCTCAAGCTTTGCTACAGAGCTACAATAACAAAAACAGCTTGGTACTGGCATAAAAACAGGCCTAAAGATCAATAAGACAGACCAGAAGACCCAGAAATAAAGCCATATACTTACAGTTGTCTGATAATTGACTTGTGAGACAAGGAAAGAAGATAGCTTCTTCAATAACTGTTTTTTTGAAAACTGGACATCTATATGTAGAAAATTAAAATTGGATCCCTGTTTGTCACTATGCACTAATATCAACTCAAAGTGAATCAAAGACTTCAATGATAGACCTGAAACTGAAATTACTGTAAGAGGGAATAGGAGAAACACAATTTATAGGAATAGGCAAAAACTTTTTTTTTTTTTTTTGCCAGTCCTGGGGTTTGAACTCAAGGCCTGGGCACTGTCCCTGAGCTTCTTTTTGCTAAAAGCTAGCACTCTACCACTTGAGCCACAGCGCCACCCCTGGCTTTTTCTCTTTATGTGGTACTGAGGAATTGAACCCAGGGCTTAATGCATGCTAGGCAAGCACTCTACCACTAAGCCACATTCCCAGCGTGGCAAAAATCTTTTGACAGAGTCCCGGGGCACATCAAATAGGAGAGACTTGACAAAAGGGACTACATTAAAATAAGAAGTTTCTGCATAGCAAAGGACATAGTTACTAAACTAGAAAGATAGCCAACAACTGGGAGAAGATCTTTACCAGCAATATAGCCAGTAAAGGTGTATTATCCAAAATATACAAGGAGCTTACTAAATTAACTCCCTCCCAGAACTAATAAACCCATCAATAAATGGGCAAAAAGACACTTCTCAGGAGAATAAGAATGGCAAATAAACATATGAGAAAATGCTCAACATTCCCAGTCATGAAAGAAATACAAATCAAGGGCTGGGAAGGTGGCTCAGTAGTAGAGCGCTTGCCTTGCATGCATGAGACCCTAGGTTCGATTCCTTAGCACCACATAAGCAAAAAGAGAAAAGCTGGAAGTGGCGCTGTGGCTCACGTGGTAGAGAGCTAGCCTTGAGCTGAAGAGCTGAGGGACAGCGCCCAGGCCCAGAGTTCAGGCCCCACGACCAGACACCCCCCAAAAAAATACAAATCAAAACAACTATTAGATTCCATCTCACCCCAGTTAGGTTGGCCAACACAGG